GAGCAAAATAAAATAAAGTCTCTATACAGCATTGGAAAAACTAATTGCTGTTAAAAATAAAAGAGTAGATATTTTCAATAAGAGTGCCATTTTGTCCCTGGTAAGAGTTGTCTTATTGACACTCTTCCTACAACTTTTTTATTACTATCTATTACGTCTATGTTATATAGGCATCATCGTTTTAATATTGTATTCATATTGTGTCATATATCAAACTTATTCGTTCGGTGTATGTTTACTTGTTTTTGTTTAAATGTCTTTTTGATCTAGTTAAGCCATTTCAATTGATATTTTATAGTGCGTCTTTTTATGTTGTAATGTTGCACTACTGTCTCAGGTTAGGATGAAGGTTGGCGCCTGCTAAAACGTTTAAACCCTGTCCTAAGTCGCCTGTTGTTCAGTGGTTGTCGTTTGTTGGTGTGGTTCATAGGTGTTTCTCGTTTTATATATAGATGAGACCATTGGTTTTCCTGTTTGAATTGTTTTACACAAGTCATTTTGGGGCCCTTTATAGCTTGCTGTTCGGTGTGAGCCAAGGCTCCGTGTTGAAGGCCGTACTTTGACCTATAATTGTTAACGTTTTACACCTTGTGACTTGGATGGAGAATTGTCTCATTGGCACTCATACCACATCTTCTTGTTTATATCGGAATGCTTTTGCCATACTTTTAAGTGATTGATCAATTATTTTAACTATGTGTTTATGTGCATAATTTAGTAGAAATAGAATTGTCATATGATGCATTGGTTATTTTAAGAGCAAATACTTTAAATTTTATCTGTGCTTATATAAAACTAATACAAACAAAACAACTTTTCAACTATACAAATTTTCTTTGATTGCTTTAAAATCAACAGACATACTCAAAATATATATCTCTAAATTTTACCACTAAAAATACACAAACTCTTTATTTTTGATAACAGTGCATTTGTTAAATTAGATAATAATATTTGATAATCTGAATGATAAGCTTCTTAATTGATATTTCTCACATGTTATATAAGATTTCTAGTATGTGATATTGTATGTATATTACAAACAAATAGTAATAGCAGTATATAACTATTGATATTTATTAATGTTAACGAAGCCAGGATAAGGTACCGGTCATTCAAACTAATATGCAAATAAAATCTATAAATGCTATGCAAATAAGGCAAAAAAATGTGATGCTCTTATACATATCCTATTCCCTGCTAATGTCAGGGAAGATTTTAAGGCACATTTCAAGAGATAAATGATAAACAATGAGTTAGAGCCTTGTCCGTACCTATCCCTGGTATCAAAGTCTCAAAATATATTTCTACACAAAACTGAACCCCCCCCCCCTCCACTGTGATTGGATGACATCAAGTGAGGAGACCTAATTTCGACTTCTGATTGGTCCAATATGTGAAGATAATCCCAAACCTGTGTATGCAACTACTTACTAATGTAGTACAACAACCTAGATTTGACATTCATTTATTTTTTTTTTCAGACCACATGACATTATCTATTTCTTTACTCTACTAATTATTTATCCTGACTTTTTTTTTACATAAATTGTCATCCTGCCTTTTTTTTTTTGCAAATAATCTCATCCTGCCTTTTTTTTACTCAAAACTCCTGTCCTGCCTATTTTTTTCAAATTTCATCCTAGCCCCCCCCCCCCCCCCCCCCCCCCCCCCCATGACAATCAAATGGTAACTCCCTAAAGTGCTCATAATTTGTAAAATCGAATAATTTTTCTAAATGATGAAGATGTTTTTCGTCTCCGGACCATTGGTAAAAGATTAAGTGAAAACGTCAAATTATGTATAAACCAGCAGCGTTAGAACAATTGTAAATAAGTCCCCACTTCAAAAACAATCATTTTTAGAAAAGTTGTATTTAAGTGACGTGTGAACTCATTTGACCATTCAATTTAATTTAACCATACAATTAACAATAATTAACGAGTTTATTGTTGAAAGCTATCATAAAATCGTTAAACTTCTTTTTTTTCTTCGCAAAATGCGACAATGGTGATCACCTGCAGGTGGTTTGTTGTTTATTTTGCTAATAATCGGTCTGATTAGTCACGTCCTTTCAACTGATTTTTATTGTCGAGTCCGCGACTTTTGTCGCAGAAAGCTCGACATAGGGATAGTGATCCGGCAGCGGAGGCGGCGACGGCGGCGGCGTAAGCTAACTTCTTAAAAGCATTGTATTTTAGAAGGTGGAAGACCTGGATGCTTCATACTTTGTATATAGATGCCTTATGTTACGAAGTTTCCGTCTGTCACATGTCCATGACCTCATTTTCATGGTTCAGTGACTGCTTGAAAAAAAGTTAAGATTTTTTGTAATGTTAATTTCTCTCTTATAATGAGTAACTATATTTGGTATGTGCGTACCTTGCAAGGTCCTCATGCCCGTCAGACAGTTTTCACTTGACCCCGACCTCATTTCATGGATCATTGAACAAGGTTAAGTTTTGGTGGTCAAATCCATATCTCAGATACTATAAGCAATAGGTCTAGCATATTCGATGTATGGAAGGACTGTAAGGTGTACATGTCCAACTGGCAGGTGTCATCTGACCTTGACCTCATTTTCATGGTTCAGTGGTTATAGTTAAGTTTTTGTGTTTTGGTCTGTTTTTCTTATACTGTGTGCAATAGGTCTACAATATTTGGTGTATGGAAATATTTTATGATGTACATGTCAGTCTGGCCGGTTTTATTTGACCTTGACCTCATTTTCACGGTTCATAGCTCAGTGTTAAGTTTTTGTGTTTTGGTCTGTTTTCTATTACTATAAGCAATAGGTCAACTATATTTGTTGTATGGAAGGATTGCAAGCTGTACATGTGTGCCTGGCATGGTTCATCTGATCTTGACCTCATTAGTCAATGTTTAGTTTTCTTGGTTTAGTCTGTATCTAAGAAACTATAAACAATAGGTCAACTATATTTAGTGTATTGAATGATTGTAAGGTGTACATGTATTTCTTGTTTGGTTTATATGACCTTGACCTCATTTTCTTGGATCATGTTAAGTTTATGTGATAGTTGTAGTAAAGTTTTATATTTAGAACTATCAACATAATATCAATGATTAGTAAAGAAGGCGCGAGACATTTCAGCGTGTGCACTCTTGTAGTAGAATGAAATAACTATGTTCTTATGTTGTGCTGTTACACCACTGCCTCAGATTAGAGAGAGTGTTTGGCGCCCGCAAACTTGATTAACCCCGCCACATTCTATATGTGTCTGGCCAAATCCAGGAGCCTGTAATTAAGTGATTGTCATTAGCTGCTGCATATCATATTTGTTGACATATAAATGCAGAGTTTTCTTAACTAATAGGTATGCAGCGGAAATGTAACTTGTATGAAGGAAATTAATACTATGAAGTCATAAGCTCTAATTTTTATAATCCAGTCATTGACATTTCTATCAAACACGCCCGTTGATATGATAAATCAAATCCAAAGTATTTTTTTTTTGTTTTCTGTGGACTTGTAACGGTAAAAAATATTCTGCTACGGTAGTATAAAAGGAGGTTATAAATGCCTCATATAGGGTGTTTCTTAAATTTTCATTAAAGATGACATGTCTAAATACTCTTCTAGACTTTCTGAATATATCCCCACAGATAGCAATCTTAACAGATCAGTATAACGACTTTAAAGAAGACAACATCTAGCTGATGGCTCCTGGTGGTACCGAAAATATTGTTTCAAAATTTAACAGCTTTTGGAAAGACATTTTCTTAATTGGAATATCATTAAGGGGGTACAGAACACCTAACGGAGTTAACTCTTTCAAAACCAGCTGATCGTTTTAATCACATACTATTAGTAAAGAGAAACTAAGCTTCTCAATGATCAAACTTAGTGTTTGTCAAACTTCTATATATCCAATGAAATTATTCCTGTAAATTGTATGGTTCAAATTTATTGAAATTTTTATATTTTTTGTCAACAGGTCAAAGTAAACATTTCGTCAAAATTTTATGAAAATTAAACGAGCCAAATCTATTTTAGTCAAGGTGTTGGGTACCTCCTTAAACAAATTAAAACAACACTTTATAGATTGTTTGTGTCCGAAACGATGGTCTGGATTTACCTTCACCAGGAACGCATAAAGCCGAAGAATAATATTTGTAAGCCAATGATGTATAAGCTATATGACCAAAACGGGCCTAATATTAATAGCAAAATCCATCTTAGGTCAACTTAGCCAGAAGGGATTGAAACCTTAGTTTGTTAATAATTTATTAATTTATAAACGAACTTGTTTATAACACTGTTATAACAAAAATCCTGAAGAAATCATGAAACAATCCATATATCTTGAAAATTAAGAATAAAACCCGTTTACCAGAGTCAGAGGAGTTTTATTCATTAATCATTTACTTAAGGAGAGCAGTGACTTTTTGACTTTATATGAATTCTAAGAAAAATGTAACCATTATATCAATTTCCATTCCATACTAAGTATGATATCAAATGCTTGACTAAATATGATACTACCTAAAAGAAAATAGCATGCGTGTCAAATGCTTTTCAACTTCGTATTTAATTTAGGCTTCCGACTATTTCGATTCGAGCGCCACTGATAAGTCTTATATAGACGAAACGCACGTCTTGCGTACCTTATTTAAAAAAAAACCTAGTACATAAATCTTCGATGAGGTTTTAAATGTGAACAAAACTCCACCTCTACCAATCTAAATCATATGTCGTTAATGTAAATTGTGTTTTTGAAAACAGGACAAAAATGTGTTCGCTACAATAAAAAGCTACAACTAATTATTCCATACTGCTTTTCAGAAAAGCAAAACATTCAGATACAACAATCCTACAGTCCTTGGATGGTGAAAACTTCCCACTAACACCAAACACCATTACAACATTCACCGTACACCATTACACCACACACCCTGTGCTATTACACCATACACGTTACACCTTTGCACCATACACCTTACACATTACACCATAATGCAATTTAATTTCAAAGAAAGCGTGCGACTACAAAATTATTTATTTATTTAAAAAAACGAATTTTGATCACAGTATTGTAAATTAATGTATAAAATTAAAAATCAGTTTTTCTCAATATTTTGCATAGTTTTAAATGTCGTACACCATTCATTCACACCATTCCCGATTGCACGTTACACCAATAGTTATACACCAACCCCCTTACACCATACATCATAGCACCATACACCTTCTACCATAGCACCATATGCCATATACCATTACACAATACATGTTTTTTTTTGGAAGTTTACACCATCCAAGGGCTGTAACAGGTTTTATGGTGTATCATCGAACAATTCATTTGACATCAGCTGTATTTGTTAGAGGCCTGAAATGTTTAAATCGTCAAACTATTGGAAAGAAGAACATTTTAATTTTATGAATGTATATCACACCCGCCCTGACTCAGACTGTGTGAAAGAGTTTAGACAAATAGGAACATCCCACCTGTTAAAAGGATTCACTTTGTACGTGAACACTAAAGTTTTTTTTTCTTCATAATTGATATTTTTGTTTTCATTGTAATATTGAATAATGAGGTCTTTGCTGGTAATAAGTATACTTATAACAACTGATAATTTAATACAATTGTGTTTGAAGCTGATGTAAAAAGGGGCTTATAAGTATTTCTCTGTTGCTTAGATAACAAAGAAATGGTTTGTTTTGTAATTTGATTTATTTTGAAAAGCTCCCAGCATTTAAATACATACATAAACATAATCATTTGCAATATACATTAAAAGAGTAAATTATGTTTTAATATAGTATTACTGTATATACAGTTGGCGTCTTTGTTAGATATTTGTTTGAATTTACCGATCAGTTCTGTTGTACATGTATGTCTCTGATGTATGGGATGTATATTTACACAGCTGCTAGATCAAAGAGATGATGTCAGCTTCTGAATTCCAGCAGCGCCTGCATATGGAGTTTATATCTCATTTTACGGACGCCATCACGAGTTGATTGATCGTTATAGAATATCTGTTTCACAGATGACGACGGATATGTTCCAATTGGTAACCACAATCCCGTCCTCTTTTCCCAGAATGTGACCCACTGAGTTACACTCATCACCATACTTGTACTTACATGAGCAACACGACGGGTGCCACATGTGGAGCAGGATCTGCTTACCCTTCCAGAGCACCTGAGATCTATCGGTTTTTGGTGGAGTTCGTGTTTGCTTAGTCTTTAGTTTTCTATGTTGTGTTTTGTATTTTGGTGTTTGTCTTTTGGTTCTTTTCTTATTTTGCTATGGCGTTATTAGTTTATTTTCAACTTATGAGTTATAATGTTCATTTGGTATCTTTTGCCTCTGTTTTAAAGAATGTTTTTGTTTTTGTTTGGGTTTTGTTTTCATTTTGGGGGGAATTGATTGTTTTATTGGTTGGTGTTTAACGCCAATTTCAGCACTATTGTGCTATTTCGTGGCGGCAAATGCTTATTGGATGAAGAAGTCGGAGTGCTCAGATAGAACCAACGACTTTCGGTAGGAAAACTAACAATCCTTATCAATTAAGATTGGAGACGAGTACAGCCGCCACGCGCGGGATTCGAACTCACAACCCCAGTGTTTACAAGCTAGTGATGCAGTATATCGAGTACTTAAACCGCTCGGCCACTGAGGCCCCTCAGAACCTTGGAAAGTTCATACTATATACTCTTCTTTAGTTATTCCCCTTTGGAACATGACAAGCAGGTTTTTAAATTTAAATTGTGAAATTTACTTCAAGGTGTATTTAGTATATGTGTTATGTTGTTCATCACTCTGTTTAAAGTGAGAACTTTTCTGAGAAATAGCTGTTTGTTCTCTCTTGTAGAGTTCCATGTTAAAGGGTCTCCCAAGGTGGAAACCATCTAGGAATTCAGATCTAAAATTGAAAATTAGTATTGTATCACCTAGTAATATTTGTTTAAAATATTAAGGAGACAAACAGTCAAGTTTCATAAGTTCAAGATTCTGTTTTAATGTGGAGCTTTCAATTTAAGAAGATGGTTGAATGTAATTTTGTATGTTTTTTTTTATGTTCCATTGTATCGGTCGTTTCTTACTTAGGTGTAGCAAATTAGTATAGGATCACCGTGTTATCATTAGTTTACGGTTATATGTTATACTATGTTTTCTATGACGGGCGTCTTGGATTTAAATTTTTGGTACTAAAAGTTACAATGGACCTTCTGCAATATCCTTATTTAGTATGCCAAGAAACTTCTCATAGGATCTCTGAACTTTCAGTCCATAATAATGAATTTTGGCCATGGCAGCCAATCCACACCAATTACCCAAAGTAAAGAATCCTGTGATCATTAGAATGTGAATAGGTTCCAGACGAAGGTGCATATAAAATGATGACATTACCTCACCTGACCATTTGTCAACGTTCAAAGGCTGTTTGGGACAGATGAGCTTATAAGTGTATGACGTATACTTTTCTTGTGTAACTTTAATTCTATCATTAAAAACTTTTTTTTCCAGATCCCCATGGCGTTGTTGACATTATATCAAAGGACATTTTGCCAATTTGAGCTAAGTTTTAGTAAAATGGTTAATCTAAACTACGTATTCATGACTCTTGAGAAATAAAATACAATGTGTCTATGTAGCAAAACATTAACGACATGTTATGGCATTCTTAGATGTTTAGATACCAGCATAGGCACCTAATCTGTAATTTTATCGATTGTGACCTATTCCTGATTGTAATACATGTATTTTAACATTTAGTGTAGATTTGCATGGCGATTAGTGCATGCATGGCATGAGACGCTCATCCTGTCGACGCAACCGGTCTCGCTCCCTTTCCAGTTACTGCAATTTCCTCTGTTTTCGTTTATCAACTTGAGGTGTCTTCTTAGTTGATTTAGGATTTGTGAAATTTGACTATTGGTAAATTGCGTTGCTTAAATTTAATTTATCTCAGAAACTACCCTAGAACGAAAAAAATATATTGACCAGTACTGATACAATAAAAATGAAGTCGTAATCCAAAGAACGGTCACAGACGCACATGTGCCCCTTAAAATTGTTACATATGTAGGACTCAAATCAATGGTGGGTTCCAGATCTATCTACAACAGATTTTAAATCTATGGAAAATTTCAGAAAGATGCTGATAAACTTATTTTGTGACACAGATTAATTTCTTGTTTTGGCGCGAAATATATTCTTACTCTTAATGCTTGACGTAACAAAATTTGTATAGAATTATATTTAACTAATGCTCAGCGTAAATATGCAGAAGCATGACAATACATTAATGAAAAAATGTGTAAATATTTCTGTAATAGAATATTATTTTACTTTACCAGTATTCTTCACTTAGAATTACATTTGAGCGCAAGAAAATCTCTATGTGAATCGGCTGAAGGTTACATCGGCTGAATCCCGGGGTCGAAGTTCAACATATCAACGGAAATTTTTGCGTGTGCTTGCGTTGCTTTAGATCGAGTCCACAGCTTTTCAACCAATCGGGGAATGTTTACTTGGGGCATACATCTATTTTTACTGCAGGTTTCGACATGTTTAAATCGGGATTATAGAAAAATGGAATTTTGTTGGTAGATACAAAGCAGAAAATGATGAACACTTTTAGCAAAAGATAAATTGGATCGGGGGTCTGTGAATTCACATTATTTGTACAACTCTCCTTACTCTTGGGAAGCGTGTGCTTTACATCGAGGCTTGCGTTGCTTTACATCGAGACTTGCGTTGCTTTACATCGACGCCATAGTAGTTCAACCAATCTGGGAATGTTTATTTGGGGCATACATCTATTTTTACTGCAGGTTTTGGCATATTTTAATCGAAATTAGAGAAAAATGGAATGATGTTAGGAGATATAAAACAGAAAATGATAAATATTTTAAGCAAAAGATGAATTGGATCGGGGTTCTGTGTATTCACATTATTTGTACAACTCTCCTTACTGATGGCAAAAAATGGAATTTCCGTGACCTAAATGGTTCGCGAAAATTAATATTTTTATATATATATATAGTAAATAGTATGCATGTTTAGTTCATTGCGATATTATGGACAACTTTCCCTGCATTTATATGAAATAATTGTGTTCCTTAACTTTAGTTTTTTTATTCCTTGTATTTCTTAAACTTAAAAAAATATACAATAAAAAATGAATAAAATTAATGGTACATTTATTCTAAATAAACTTTTTATTAGTGTTTTATTAACTTAAATAACTTCTTACAATGCATTGAATTATTTCAAATTGATGTGAATTCAGGGAAAACAAAAAAATTACCATAAACGATTAGCCTAACCTTGACAAATGATCTGGTCTATGCCATAGATATTGGCTAAAAAAACTACTTTTTTAGTCCTCCCCCTTTTATTTAAATCTGGTATTTTTTTAGTTTTCTATCAATTGCAATTAATTTCACGTTTTTTTCTATACTATATGAAATTAAATATGCCCGAATTAAATTGTATTTGCTACTTACTTTCAATTCGAAGTTAACTATACACAGCGAGAAATTAATAGAAAAAAACCCACACAGATTTTGAAAAAAAGGGGAGGGCTTTAAAAACTTCTTGTCCTTTAGTACTATGATCTATGCATGATGGTGCCATATTCCAAAATTAACAATGATTTCCAAAATTCAAGTATAACAAGAGGCTGTCAGAGTGAAGGCAACTCTGACGGCAAACCAGATTTCCTGCAGAGGTCGAACACAGAACAGCCGAGCAAGTATGGACACAACATTTAAGCTTAAAACAGCTTTTAATTTGGATTGTGATTGAATATTTGACACAGCATAGGTTTGTGACACAAAATCAATGTGGTCAAAAGAACTGATTTTTATAAAAAAAAATCAATTTGATTACCAGAAAACGAAAAATACTAAGTACACCTCCAATGACAATCCCCCTTTTTTCTCCAAAACAATACAATGTGTTAATCAATGTGTTCTCTTCTTTTCCATCATACCCATTATTGTTTGACAACATCAAATTATGTCATCCTTTTTTAAAAGTGTGTAATATTTGCTACTGTGCAAAACCATTAACATATTACATACTATAAATTACAATAGAAACTTAATCCCTTTAAAATATTATCATAAATAATAATATAATTACTGTAATAGTTTTTTTTTTTTATTTCAACTTCTGATGTCCAACTTTCACATGATCAAACTTTATTGTTCTATTTCTATATCAATATTCACTAGAACTTGAATCATGTATACACATTTATAACTGTACTTTAAAATAAATGCTGAAAATAATATATATTAAGTAATGTGATATGTATGTGACCAGTTATTTTGGGGATTAAGATCAACAAACCCAGCATGATACATGGTCTGGGGTAATTGGCATTGGCATGATGTCTGATAAGACCACAGCTACAAAGTAGCTGGAAATTCGGGCTTATGTCTTAGAGTGTTATATTTGTTGACATATCAATGCAGATTTTTCTTAACTAATAGGTATACAGCGGAAACGTAACTTTTATGGAGGAAACTAATGCTATGAAGTCATTAGCTCTAATTTTTATAATTCAGTCATTGACATTTCTATCAAACACGGCCGTTGATATGATAAATCAAATTCAAAATATTTTCTTTTGTTTTCTGTGGATTTGTAACGGTAAAAGATGTTCTGCTAAGATAGTATAAAAGGAGGTTATAAATGCCTTATATAGGGGGTTTCTAAAAATTTCATTAAAGATGACATGTCTAAATACTCTTCTAGACTTTCTGAATATATCCCCACAGATAGCAATCTTAATAAATCAGTATAACGACTTTAAAGAAGACAACATATAGCTGATGGCTCCTGGTGGTACCGAAAAGATTGTTTCAAAATTTAACAGCTTTTGGAAAGACATTTTGCTTAATTGAAATATCCTTAAACAAATGAAAACAACACTTTACAGATTGTTTGTGTCCGAAACGATTGTCTGGATTTACCTTCACCAGGAACGCATAAAGCCGACGAATAATATTTGTGAGCCAAGGATTTATAAGCTATATAACCAAAACGGGCCTAATATTAATAGCAAAATCCATCTTAGGTCAACTTAGCCAGAGGGGTTTGAAACCTTAGTTTGTTAATAATCTATTAATTTATAAACGAACTAGTTTATAACACTGTTATAACAATAATCCTGAAGGAATCATGAAACAATCCATATAACTTGAAAATTAAGAATAAAACCCGTTTACCAGAGTCTGTATGAACGAGGAGTTTTATTCATTAATGATTTACGTAATATAGATACAATGGATAAGCGTAGATTCTTGAAAAAGAAACCATGAGCCCGGAGGGCGAATGGTTTGTTATTCATGAATCTACGCTTATCCATTGTATCTATTACTTAAACTATTGTGTTGATTTCTTTTCAAAATTAAAGCCTTTTCTTAATTAGAAGGTATTGTAAGTGAATATAAATAGACATGTTATCATGTGCAACGATGCATTAACAAGGTTCACAATTAATTAGTTAAGGAAATACAAATATAACATAACACGTCCGTCTTTGAATTATTATGCATCTGAATATCATCCTTAATTTACAAAATAAGACATGTTCGAATTTATTTTTAAGTATATATAATAAGTATGTTACCAAAATTTATAGCAAGAACCCTTATTATTGGCACATCACAAATTACTCGCATAGGTATTTGCGATTAAGCATTTGTAAAGACGTGTAGTAAAACAGATGAAATCATATTATATAAATATAAAACAAAAATGGATAAATTGAATGTAATCATTTTTTTATCAAATACCCGAATTGGCCAACAATAATCCAAAAACATAAACGGGAAAACCAGCTATTAAATAAATATTCACACTAACATACAAAATAAGAAAAGCGGATAAACTAAAGAAAAGAAAAGAATACAGGGATTCGAACCTAAACCGACAAGTCTCTCTCTACCTTTAACTTGAATCTTCAACTCATTGATCTTAACCACGTTAACCTGGCGGCTACTGATTTATACTATACGGTTGCCTATTATGTATATATAAAGGTACAAGCCCTGTGTGTCCGTTGTAGCGATGAGTATCCTATGTTCATTTATATATATAAAATAGACATCTAGCTTGCAACCCATTGGTAGCCGAGAGGTTTCATGGATGTGTTGATGTCAGTCATATATAACAGATTTCAAGGAGGGGTTCGATTCCAAGTGATGGCATATAAAAGTTACAAAAATTGAAGGTAAGTTTTTAAATTAATTCCATTAGTGAACAGAAATCAGTAAATTAGCTAATTCAAACTTAATGAAAATAGGCACACAAAGGAAACAATTGAATATAATTTGGTGAGTTCATTTCAGCGACAGATTTAGGAAGCGTTGATTCTAGAAAAAGAATCCACGGCAAATGAATAGGCTGACGTCACGACAATGGTTTAATTAAGGAGAGTATTGACTTTTTGACTTTATATGAATTCTAAGAAAAATATAACCATTATATATATCTTCATTCCATACTAAGTATGATATCAAATGCTTGACTAAATATGATACTACCTGAAACAAAAATAGCATGTTTGTCAAATGCTCTTCAACTTCGTATTTAATTTGGGCTTCCGACTATTTCGATTCGAGCGCCACTGATAAGTCTTATATACACGAAACGCACGTCTTGCGTACCAAATTTTAAAAACCTAGTACATAAATCTTCGATGAGGTTTTAAATGCGAACAAAACTCCACATCTACCAATCTAGATCATATGTCGTTAATGTAAATTGTTTTTTTGAAAACAGGACAAAAATATGTTTGCTACAACAAAAAGCTACAACTAATTATTCCACAATGCTTTTCAGAAAAGCAAAACATTCAGATACAACACTCCTACAGTCCTTCGATGGTGTAAACTTCCCACTAACACCATACACCATTACACCATTCACCACACACAACTACACCATACACCATGTGCCATTACACCATACACGTTACACCTTTACACCATACACCTTACACATTCCACCATAATGCAATTTAATTTCAAAGAAAGCGTGCGACTACAAAATTATTTATTTATTTTAAAAAACGATATTTGATCACAATATTGTAAATTAATGTATAAAATTAAAAATCAGTCGCACGTTACACCAATAGTTATACACCATTCCCCTTACACGATACACCATAGCACCATACACCTTCTACCATAGCACCATATGCCATACACCATTACACAATACATGTTTTTTTTGGAAGTTTACACCATCCAAGGGCTGTAACAGGTTTAATGGTGTATCATCGAACAATTCATTTGACATCAGCTGTGTTTGTTAAAGGCCTGAAATGTTTAAATCGTCAAACTATTGGAAAGAAGAACATTTTAATTTTATGAATGTATATCACACCCGCCCTGACTCAGACTATGTGAAAGAGTTTAGACAAATAGGAACATCCCACCTGTTAAAAGGGTTCACTTTGTACGTGAACACTAAAGTTTTTTTTTCATAATTGATACTTGTGTTTTCATTGTAATATTGAAAAATGAGGTCTTTACTGGTAATAAGTATACTTATAACAACTGATAATTTAATACAATTGTATTTAAAGCTTATTTAAAAAGGGGCTTATAAGTATTTTTTTGTTGCTTAGGTAACCAAGAAATGGTTTGTTTTGTAATTTAATTTATTTTGAAAAGCTCCCAGCATGTAAATACATACATAAACATAATCATTTGCAATATACATTAAAAGAGTAAATTATGTTTTAATATAGTATTACTGTATATACAGTTGGCGTCTTTGTTAGATATTTGTTTGAATTTACCGATCAGTTCTGTTGTACAAGTATGTCTATGATGTATGTGATGTATGTTTACACAGCTGCTAGATCAAATAGATGATGTCAGCTTCTGAATTCCAGCAGCGCCTGCATATGGAGTTTATATCTCATTTTACGGACGCCATCACGAGTTGATTGACCGTTATAGAATATCTGTTTCACAGATGACGACGGATATGTTCCAATTGGTAACCACAATCCCGTCCTCTTTTCCCAGAATGTGACCCACTGAGTTACACTCATCACCATACTTGTACTTACATGAGCAACACGACGGGTGCCACATGTGGAGCAGGATCTGCTTACCTTTCCAGAGCACCTGAGATCTATCGGTTTTTGGTGGAGTTCGTGTTTGCTTAGTCTTTAGTTTTCTATGTTGTGTTTTGTATTTTGGTGTTTGTCTTTTGGTTCTTTTCTTATTTTGCTATGGCGTTATTAGTTTATTTTCGACTTATGAGTTATAATGTTCATTTGGTATCTTTTGCCTCTGTTTTAAAGAATGTTTTTGTTTTTGTTTGGGTTTTGTTTTTATTTTGGGGGGAATTAGATTGTTTTATTGGTTGGTGTTTAACGCCAATTTCAGCACTATTGTGCTATTTCGTGGCGGCAAATGCTTATTGGGTGAAGAAGTCGGAGTGCTCAGATAGAACCAACAACTTTCGGTAGGAAAACTAACAATCCTTATCAATTAAGATTGGAGACGAGCACAGCTGCCACGTGCGGGATTCGAACTCACAACCCCAGTGTTTACAAGCTAGTGATGCAGTATTTCGAGTACTAAAACCGCTCTGCCAATGAGGCCCCTCAGAACCTTGGAATGTTCATACTATATAATCTTCTTTATTTATTCCCCTTTGGAACATGACAAGCAGGTTTTTAAATTTAAATTGTGAAATTTACTTCAAGGCGTATTTAGTATATGTGTTATGTTGTTCATCACTCGGTTTAAAGTGAGAACTTTTCTGAGAAATAGCTGTTTGGTCTCTCTTGTAGAGTTCCATGTTAAAGGGTCTCCCAAGGTGGAAACCATCTAGGAATTCAGATCTAAATTGAAAATTAGTATTGTATCACCTAGTAATATTTGTTTAAAATATTAAGGAGACAAACAGTCAAGTTTCATAAGTTCAAGATTCTGTTTTAATGTGGAGCTTTCAATTTAAGAAGATGGTTGAATGTAATTTTGTATGTTTCTTTTATGTTCCATTGTATCGGTCGTTTCTTACTTAGGTGTAGCAAATTAGTATAGGATCACCGTGTTATCATTAGTTTACGGTTATATGTTATACTATGTTTCTATGACGGGCGTCTTGGATTTTAATTTTTGGTACTAAAAGTTAAAAAAAACTTACAATGGACCTTCTGCAATATCCTTATTTAGTATGCCAAGAAACTTCTCATAGGATCTCTGAACTTTCAGTCCATAATAATGAATTTTGGCCATGGCAGCCAATCCACACCAATTACCCAAAGTAAAGAATCCTGTGATCATTAGAATGTGAATAGGTTCCAGACGAAGGTGCATATAAAATGATGACATTACCTCACCTGACCATTTGTCAACGTTCAAAGGCTGTTTGGGACAGATGAGCTTATAAGTGTATGACGTATACTTTTCTTGTGTAACTTTAATTCTATCATTAAAAACTTTTTTTTCCAGATCCCCATGGCGTTGTTGACATTATATCAAAGGACATTTTGCCAATTTGAGCTAAGTTTTAGTAAAATGGATAATCTAAACTACGTATTCATGATTCTTGAGAAATAAAATACAATGTGTCTATGTAGCAAAACATTAACGACATGTTATGGCATTCTTAGATGTTTAGATACCAGCATAGGCACCTAATCTGTAATTTTATCGATTGTGACCTATTCCTGATTGTAATACATATATTTTAACATTTAGTGTAGATTTGCATGGCGATTAGTGCATGCATGGAATGAGACGCTCATCCTGTCGACGCAACCGGTCTCGCTCCCTGTCCAGTTACTGCAATTTACTCTGTTTTCGTTTATCAACTTGAGGTGTCTTCTTGGTTGATTTAGGATTTGTGAATATTGGTAAACTGCCGTTGCTTAAATTTTATCTCAGAAACTGCCTAGAACGAAAACAATATATTGACCAGTACTGATACAATAAAAATGAGGTCGTAATCCAAAGAACGCTCACAGACGCACATGTGCCCCTTAAAATTGTTACATATGTAGGACTCAAATCAATGGTGGGTTCCAGATCTATCTACAACAGATTTTAAATCTATGGCAGCTTTGACGTCACAAACGCTGAACAAGTCACACAAATTATGGCATTTTTTTGTTTTCTCCAAATCTATGACAGATATCGAAATTGTGTTATTTCAAACTATTAACTATGACTTCGCTAACGATGACAAAAAATATAGATTCGAATACCATTCCAAAATGACGGTTTTGTTATAACGAAGGGAATAAAAAAAGATCAGTTTCCAAGGACCGTAGTCCAGAAACGTTTGGGGGGACTATGCTAAGGTACTCTCAATTTGCAAATCAGTAAAAGAAGAATATCCTAAATGGGAACGGTAAAAGGGATCAAGTTTTTAAATGAACAGTAAAATGGTAGAATGGTACGAAAATATTTAGAAACTGTTTTTACGATTCAAATTCTAATCATTTTTACAAAACAGATTAACGCCTTTGCCACTCCACATAAAAATGTCTTTCAAAGGACGAATTAATTGACCTGGTGAAAATGAATCGCTCCATAGATCATAGCAACTACCTTTACAATTATAGCAAATAATCTTTCTTGAGATTTGAATACTAAAAACAATAGTCATAGATTTCTAATGCATTGTAACTATCTACACTATTTTCAGCTATATCTATGTCGAATAACTGTACTGTTGGATAAAGTAAGATTTATTGAGAAATCTTCTACTTGTTTAAGGCAAGTCATTGTTGAGATATGTATTGACTTGTCCTCCATTTGCAGAAAATCTGCCATAGATTTGGAAACCAGAAAAATCCGCCATATATTAGGAAACTAACAAAAATTGCCATAGATTTGGATTCTTACAAATCTGCCATAGATTGGGATGGCATGACGTCATATCTACTATAGATATGAAATCTGCCATAAACCTGGAACCCTCCATGGATGTGAATCCTACATATATACCCAATGTACTTGACCAATTGTTTCTAGTATCTGAGAAATGCACCTTATAACGAAACATAAAGATAATCATTTGTCTATGAAATGAGGACAGATTAACCCTGTCTGACATATATACATCTTGCAATGTATGTACCAAATAAAATATAAACATGGGAAAACACTATACTATTCCAATGAGGTCAAGGACAACGGATGCATGCTAAACGGATACTTCAGGATGTAGGACATTGTATGGATTCAAGATATGAAAAATTAATGTCTTTTACCTTTTGAAATAGGAAGCTTTTACCAAGAAGGTACCCCGCTGGATAATCTTACTATTTTGAAACATTAGTCACAAACGCAATAAAAATGACAAAAAGACAACAAAACATTACAAAGAAACTTAAGATTGAAAACACAAGACTCCAAAAAAAAAAACCGGCTATGAATTCAGATGATCGGGAAAGGTCAACAATTACTTTTCCAATAGTCTTCGTGCTACTCCTAGTTTATGAAAAAATAACTCGGTAAATTCCGTGCATCCAAAGCGTTTTTCAAGAAAGCTCTATTAGTCTTTATCAGGAAAGCTTACATCTAAATATTTGAAAGCCAGGAATGTATGTATACGTAGAAATGTTAGGTGTATCAAAAGTGACGAAAAAGAATCGCAAAATTCGTGAAAGGTTTATTTTTGCATGAGGAAGTAGGAACCTTAGTTTCAGAGCAATTTCTTTTTTTAAAAACGGGGCATTTGGAAATTGTTGTTAAAATTGTGACTGCCAAAGCACTGACGACAAAGCTGATGATACCCTTAAGCACTTACAGTCCACTAGCATCAGTATCGACAAAGTATTAAAATACGTTTACGAGTCATATTTGGTGTTTAGGCATCACAAAATAGCAGTTGATTAAATAATTCGAATCTAACCATACGATTCACAAAATGCATTAACAGTCGGTCATGGGAACTTTCTATCTGAAATCTTAATCTGAAATTTTGAAATAAAAACACGGCTTTCCGTTGTCTTTAGGTTTAGTTTCAACCAAACTTCGTTGTTAATTTTTAGCTGTAAATCAAGATAAGAAGCAGCCTTAAGGTCAAGTTAAAGTAAATGGGCTATGTCACAGATTTTCTTAAAATTTTGATCACAACTTTTTTTTTTGACTCGTTGAACTTCACCTAAAAATCGAAAAAATAATGCATTTATCTCTTTTATTTTCTGAAATATTACTGATTGAATTCTTTCAAAATAGGTGAACATTTGTATAGAAAGCACATAAAATCGGCGAAAAAACTTCTTAAATTTGTCGTAAATCAGAAAATCTCCAATTTTTAATACATAGATTTTTCTTTAAAAAACTATATATCGTTGAATTAATATCAGGAACATGTCATTCCGGCGACCCTCACATTTTTCATTTAACTTCTATGATGACCACCTGTGCAAATTTGCAACAAAATCAGAAGCCAATATTAAGATTTTAGAAATATTGAATGAATACAAAGAGGTAAGGATGGATCTCAATTAGACAATTTTCGAACATCTATATATATCATCAGGAAATTAATATAAATAGTGGAAACAATAATGTAAATCATTTATTCAGATTTATGAATACCGAAACATGCATAAAGCATTAACACAAAAATATGCAAGTAAAATTCACTGAAAATATGAAATGAAATATTAGCTTCTAAGATGGGAACTAGCTTGCTTTTAATAAGAGAAAACCAAAGAGATAATAAAATTATATGCTCTAAGATGGCCCCTTTTTATTTAAAGGGGTGAGCAATGAAGTGGTCTTAGATCTTCGATGTTTATTCCTTGGTATGATTTTCTCTCAGTGGTAAGTCGAAGTTTTATAGTCTTATATACTAGATAGTGTACTTTATTATAATTGTTGCAGTAAAAATGGTACCGTATGGTATTATAGAACCGCTCAATTGCAAGTATATCGTACAGTTTGCATCAATATAAAAGATCAAATTGTTCTTGACATCATCTATAGTAATGTGTATGTTGGGGCGATGGTAATAAAAACGTTGACTTCACACAGCCAAGTTTTAAGTTAAATTAGCTGACTTCTGCATTAAGTGAAAGGGAATTGGGGGGGGGGGGGGGGGGGGAGGGGGGGGGGGGCATAGAAGTGGGTCATACAACCACGAAATGTAAGCCCAAGTGATAGTGTCATCAATTTTTGTGTAACATACCTATCAGTTGTAGATGTAAGCTTACATATAATTTAGGCGTGGTTTATTCGTGTAAAGAAGCTCGTGTCTGCATGTGCGACTCTTATTGGTTGTTCCTTATTTAGAAGAGATACACGTGGCAGAACTCAGTTTTGCTAATTCTGTTTGGAAAGAAGGACGCTATTTTATATTATGAAGCAAATCTTTTGTTTCAGGTTGTTTTGTATATCATATCTATCAGATGTGGATGCAGGTTTTTCAAGAAGAGGAAGTCTGAATATTTCATTCTGAGAGTAATACCCCATCACACTAAGACCACGATTCCGAAATGAAATTATGAAAATTTGTGAAAGTCGTTGTAAGATCGTGGTGGTCGTAGTAAGGACGTGCCAATGTCTCCATGATCGTGGAGGTCAACGACCAAATTTGAACATTATCAAAACATTCGTAGTGCAGTCGTGGCCAAAACTATACGAAGCATCGTACTAGTATTTGAAATCGTGGTGCAATCGGGAAGCTAATGGAAAAGATTTCGCTACTAATCGTAGCAGGATCTTATCAGGATCATAACAAGGTCGTGGTATGAACGTGAAAACTTTGAAATGTTGAATATTCAAGCCGACCATACCACGATCTCACCTCGATCTTATTTTTATATAGATCATAGTGGGATTTGCATGGTCTTGGTCTAGTGTGATGGGGGCTTAAAGATTAATTATTTGATCATCATATAAACAATCATAGATAACAGTAGTAAACAGTTGCCACCCAACCGGTCAGATCCATTAGTATTGTCATTTTGAAGATTTTTAAGGTACACATCTGCAGCCATTTCAGCTTTACATGAATCAACTGCTACAATAAAACCTTGCATTTCCTTATTGTCCCATTTAATAGCCATTTCTTTGATCAATTCGTACACGTCACCTTGCATGCATGGATGTTCAGCAAAAAGGACCTGAAGTGTCGCTTTGCATTCAGAAAGACAATTCCCGAACGGTTTACAATTGGCCATTACTTCATCCCTTACACGCTTTGTTTCATTTACATTATAAACCATAAAATCAACCCATTTACAATCGTTATGTTCTTGTTGAATCCACTGATTACATATTGAGATATCTTTCCATGCTGTGCACGTAGGGAATGGCATGCTTGCAGCAGGGTAAAAAGCCATGAATCCGAAACACATCTCGTCACTTGTAGCATCACCAAAAAACGTGGTCTTTGGTCTAGAAAGGGATTTGAACTTGCATGTCGTTACAATTTCGTCTCCTGGTAGCACTTGAACTGCAGTTGAGTACCTTTAACATATGCAATTTGTGTTATTTTTCCAAAATTTACATTTTGAAATCAATTGACATACATTTTGTAACAATAATCTACAAATTGCCCAATCATGTAAAACGTGAATGAACATGTTAAGTATGAATTAAATGCTTTTATGTTAAAATACCTACCCAGAAATACATTGATAGACATTACACGATTGGCTCAAAAGAACCAATATAGAGCATTATGCAGTCATTAGGCAGGTATCAACATAATATGTTGGGCTGTAAATCGAATCCATTCGCCAATAATATACTATCAAAAATCCACATTTCTTATGTGGTAGCGAATATTATATCACATACTTTTTTTTATGGTTATTCAAACTCTAACAATTTTGGTCACATACTAAAATAACACCCATTCAAAAATTATGTACATGGAGTTCATTTACGATAATATTGACCACTTTTAATTGTCACTTGATGAAGATGAATTTCATGTTAATTGGGACGAAAATACTTTAAAAGTTACTGCTTCGGTCAATTATATTTTATACATAACCTGTTCTTTAACTTCTTGGTAAATGGACGGGTCAAATTTGCAAACTTTACATGTTTTTTTGTCAAATTTGACATCGAGGACATCTTTAATAAAATCAGATTAATTTGTGTCTGATAAACTATATATCACTTTACTTCAAACGGAATTTTAACTAAAAAATGTTCTTCGTATACATTTATATATATATATTCTTCTGTTGAAAACTTGTGATTTTTTTTTGGACACAATTAGTTTGCTCATATTGTTATCAATACGCCATAATATTGTAAGAACCTCAATGTACACACTTGACGTTGTGAAACTATGCAGCTAGGTCGAAATTGAAAGACTGTTTGAGAATAGCTGTCTTTAAAATTACTTCAGGGGAAACAAGTCTACTGGACCTTATTGGCCATCTATCAACAACAATGCAAGCGTTGAAGTGCTAAGCACTCTTCACTTAAAATATCAGAAAACAAGAAGTACATGTCCTTAACGTATTCAAACGTCACAACTCATCACAGTCAAGCTGCTGATCAAATATTAAGTTATTCTATTCAGTAGTTTTGAATAAAAGTGTACAGAAAATATTTTGTATTCATTCAACATGTTCATTATGATGAAAATTCATAGTATCGGCAAGCAAAAGTTAGGTATCAAGCAGATCCAAGAAAACGCCCATACGTTAAAAGCTGTCTGCCAAATATGAAGTCATTCTGTTTAGTAGTACTGAATAAATGTAAAATGAAAATTTAAGCTTATTATAATTATTGAAATTTTTAAAGTGAGCGCAGACTTGAAGCAGGTTTCTGAAAGATCGGAAAAGTGCACACTCAATACACCTCATCAGTGTCAAGCTACGGATAAAATTCAAAGTTGTTCTGTTCGGCGGTTTTTGTGAAACGTGTGACAAAACTGTTTGTTTGACAAACAGACGGACGGACGAATAGTTGAACAAGGTAATACTATAAAATACCCACCTAAACAGTGGGGTAAAATTATTTGAAAATAAATTGTCAGAGTTTGTATTATATATAAAGATAAAAAAAGCAAAAAAAATAACGTAACCCATAACGCTGTTGTTTTTAAAAGATTTAACAAACTTGATTTGTAAACTCACGTTTTCTCTACAGGACTGTCATAGTTATAAATAGCATCATTTGTAAGTTCTGTATAAAACACACCGTCTCTGTATACCTTAATACTCATTGCATGTCCTGAAATTTTTTAACAACAAAATTATAAATTTATTCGTCAACTCTAAGTTACTATCTAAATTTCAAACACTACTCTTAGAGAGAATTGACATACATTACGATTATAGGAATGACCACACAGATGAGCGTTCAAAGACAATTCATATAATCTTTTTCGACTAAAAGGCAGGAAATTTAAACAAAATGAAATAAACCCAAACAGTATTGGTTTGTATTAACATATTACCACATATGCAAACCAAATATCAACATAATATGTAAGAGCGTTCTATAAATTTCTTTTTAAATCCAAAGAAAAATTATGTCGAGAAGGTACGTAAACCGGAATACAACAAAAACTTTAACTATCTTATACAACTACTGACTCAAAATTGCCAAACCCGAGGAAAGAGATGTGATCCATAAAAAATTCTTCATATACAACAGTACCAAAACTTGCAATATAACTTATTTTAGTCCAATTTCAACGTAAGTTGGCGGTAACTTAACTTCATACGTTGTTGTTTTAAGCAATTTCAGAAACACAATCAAAATATTCTTACAATCTTCACTTCATAATGGTCTTAGGTGTTGAGTATTAATAAGAGACAAAAGTCCTAGACTAACGTATGACTCCTAAATCAATATGGATATGCAGACAAAAGTACTAGGCTGATGTATAACTCTTAAATCAATATTGATATGCAGGGACAACAGTCCTAGACTGATATTTAATTCCTAAATCAATATTGATATGCAGAGACAACATTACTAGGCTGATGTATGACTCCTAAATCAATATTAATATGCAGGGACAACAGTCCTAGACTGATGTATAACTCATAAATCAATATTAATATGCAGGGACAACAGTCCTAGACTGTTGTATAACTCCTAAATCAATATTAATATGCAGGGGCAGCAGTCCTAGGCTGATGTATGACTCCTAAATCAATATTGATATGCAGAGACAACAGTCATAGACTGATGTATAACTCCTAAATCAATATTAATATGCAGGGACAACAGTCCTAGACTGTTGTATAACTCCTAAATCAATATTAATATGCAGGGGCAGCAGTCCTAGGCTGATGTATGACTCCTAAATCAATATTGATATGCAGAGACAACAGTCATAGGCTGATGTATAACTCCTAAATCAATATTAATATGCAGGGACAGCAGTCCTAGGCTGATGTATAACTCCTAAATCAATATTGATATGCAGGGACAACAGTCCTAGGCTGTTGTATAACTCCTAAATCAATATTAATATGCAGAGACAACAGTACTAGGCTGATGTTAACTCCTAAATCAATATTGATATCCAGAAACAACAGTCCTAGACTGATGTATAACTCCTAAATCAATATTGATATGAAGAGACAACAGTCCTAGACTGATGTATAACTCCTAAATCAATATTTATATGCAAATACAGGATAAACAAAAACTTAGGAAATCGCACCACCCGATACGGATCGAGACTAGGTGCGACGACATGGTGTCTTTTCCTACACATGATCATCACTCCTCATGCGAATCCACACTCAGTCAGATATCAAGAAAGGAAATAGTATACAAGCAGTAAATTTACAGAACAGATGACGTTTCTGGTACCTAAAGATCTTAAACATTCGCTTTTGAGTTCAGCCATAGAAACATCGTATCTCTCAACTAACTAGCAATGTTACCCTCTTAAAAGTTTTGTATACGGTGCAAACTAATTAATTCTGAACCACAAAAAATTATAAATTTCATACATCGTATCATCATAGTTCGTTTACTGCTTTTTGATTCCCACTGAAAATCAAACGTACAATTTATGAAATGTCCGTTTGATATCTTTCGCCTCTCTTCTAAATGCGCATGGAAGTATACTAATGAGTTCAAATATAAACTACTTATGTTTAATCTAGATTATTAAATGATCAGTTTTAACCTGTTTTCAGCTATATTATATATGTAACGTATACGACAATACGTGATCAACTGATACAGTAGTGTGTAAAAACTAAGACCTAATGACAGATATTAGATAAAAGTTGCGTTAATTGCATTTATGCATTATAAAATGAATTATTTTACAAATTTATTTTGGTAAAATAGTTGTAATAAATGTAAATATGAAAATAAAGATGTGGTATAATTGACAATAAGATAATTCTCCGCCAGAGACGAAATGACATAAAAGTTAACAACTATAGGCCACCGTACAGCTATCAACTATGAGCAAAACCCATACCGCATAGTCAGCTATGAAAATTCCCGAAAGAAAAAACAAGAAAACTAACGGGCTGATTTATGTGAAAAAAACAATGAACAAAATACAAATATGATATACAGAAACAACTGAATTGCAGGCTCCAGACTTGTGACAGGCACATACAGAATGTGGCGGGGCTAAACATGTTAGAGGGCGTCCAACCCTCTCCTTAATCTGGGACAGTGGTGTAACATTACAACAAATGAACAAACTTTAAAAATTAGTTGAAAAGGTCTTAACTCACCAAATCGATACAAAGCAGAATAAAGAGCTGTGCCATGAGCGCATGATACGCCCAACCCCCTTTAAGCTTGTCTTTATGCTTTAAATGAGAGTGTAGATGGGGGTTAAAAGAATAGAGAATAATGGGCCAATAATATAAAGAATAGAGAAAAAATGAACCAAAACAAAAAAGAATAGAGAATAATGAGGTTATAAAGTATAAAGAATAGAGATAAATGGGCAAAAAGTACAAAAAATGGAGAAAAGTTGCCTAAAAAAATAACAATACAGAAATGAAGGACCCCCCCCATCCAGACCGTCTTAAATGATTTTATATGATCAACTTGAAATCCTGTGATTTTCAACAATTTTTCAACAAATAAAGTTCTATATCTCAGCAATGTGATATCAGAAATTTATAAAAAAAACAAATATGAGCTTATGTCACTATATATAAACAATTCACCAAAGATTCATGAAAATTGCTCAAAGCATTTGAGTTATTGTCAGAAAACTGGCAAATCCCCCATTTTGGTATGAATAAAATTCCATAACTCGGAAACGTATGATCTAATTTATAAAAGTAGAAAGGGAGCTTACGTCAATAGACACAAATAATTCTTTCACGAAAATTGGTGAAATTGTTTTTGAGTTCTTGTCCAAAGTGTCAAAGAAGGACATACGGACAAACGGACGGACAGCAGTTTACCATATTACGTCCTAGTAAGTTTGGTTCAATAGTTTCAATAATATGAAAATCACCAGGACGCTAGTGCTAGAGTGATGAATGAATTATAGGAACTACAAGTATTATAATGTGTGAGTTTAACTAATTTCTATAGAGTTTAATGTCAAAAGCCGTTATCTTAATTAAAGGAATCAACATAGCCTTGATCTGTAATAACTAAATTCATCCTTTAAGTTTTGAAATTGCAAATTCGCATAGTATTGACATCATTTCTTGGATTGAGAAAAACCAAGCGTATATAGCTTTTAAATTCAGGTTTTCTAAAATAAGAGTTAATATTACCTAAATAGTGCATATGGTTCGTAGCCCAAAATATATTAATTGGTTTTTGTATTAATTGTCTTGAACACTCTGAATGGCATTTCCCAACTACTGTGTAACTCTGTTGTCCAGGTTGAATTTCTATGTGTGTCTGACCAGTCGCCAAAATGGCAGCATCATTTGGTCGAAGTTTTGGAGTATAATAAAGAGTAATTCCCGATGAATCTTTCCAATCCGCTACTAACTGTGGATTGTTCCAGTGAAACTATGAAATAATGAAGGTATATTTTATAACAAATAAATCTTTTTATTATGATTATGTATTGTACATTAATATGTTATTTAATCAAATTCACTAATAAATTCTATTATTTTTAATGATTTATTATTTTTTTGGTTAACACTTTAGTTAACCCCAGATTTTCGGTAGGGTTTATGTTATGTAGTGTTTGTTGACTGTTATTAAATTCATTTTTGAAAACTTTCTATGACATAAAAAAACAAATTCGCCTAATATTGTTGCTGTCAGAAATAAAAGTGTTATATAATGTTGGCTGCCAAAAAACCAAATCCATTAATCAGTAAATAACGTGGGGAAAAAATTGAATTGAACAGTTTTCTCCAGATGCATTTTTATTTTATCTTGAAGTTTAATAATATTCCATGAAGGTTGACAAAATTGTTTATGTCTTAAAAAAATAATCAGACTGTATCTGTTTGTTAAATGCCAAAACACTAAGTCCTTTTATCAGTAAAATACGGAAAATATAAAAAAAAGATTGTCAAAATTTTGCTCTGTATTTATCATCATAAAAAAAACGAGTTACATACCATTACATGAAGGTCCGATGGAATGTAAAAAACATTATTGGCCCTTTAAAAGTAAATGACCGCTACCATTTCTAAGCTATATTAATTATGTTCAAAAATGACACACTCACACATTCCAATCATTGTACTGGCGAAATATAATTTTGATGGCATTGTGACATCAACATGTTACTATTGTTATGATTTAAATCAAAACGTGCCAGTATAGTGTGACGGGATTGCTTCCCTTAGTACATTTAGTAGATAGTTAGCCAGCCGTAAGTGGTTGAGCTAGGGTAGTAGAGCACAGCCTTTGAACACAAAGGTCCCGGGTTTGAGTCCCGGAGGAAACAACGTGAGTTTGTAATATTAATCTTGCACTCCGGTTACAATACAAATGATTAGTACTAGGGTTAAACTAAATAAGCAATTATTCTAAAAAAATACATTTGACTCACATCGACACCTTTGTAACAAAGTGGGGAGTTGTTCACATCTTCACATCGATGTGAAGTCAATTATGTTTTCAGGTTTTGTTCATTTTGAATTTTAAAATGAGATGAATTGTGGGTTTTTTCAATTTCAACGTTTGAAGGCCTAATGCAAATATGAAAGCTTATGAAGAATGTTATTAGACATCTTTATAAAACGTCGTGATCTGCAATATAAGAGGAACTACGAGTAGTAGTATATCATATCTTTTTTTTGCAAAATACTATTTTAAAGATTGTTCTACTTCCGAACCTCTAATGCGGCCTGTTTGAATCCATTTTGACCAATACGAAATCCCATTGGTCCATCTATGCAATATCCAGAAAATCCAACCGCCCATATTCCGATGAGTTTATTGCAGTTACTAGCTGCACTCATGCCACATTTGGTAACTGTATTGAGCTTTTCGTCTGGCACTGGGTCTTCTGTAAAAGAATAAACATGAACTTATCTATCAAATGAAAAGGTATTTTATCTCGACAGTAATTAACATTGTTATGACAAACCTATAACGCATGGGTAACTTTTGTAAAATGGAGGTGTTTTATTGCTGCGGTACTTTTCCAATCGTGAGTACTTGTACTTAATAAAGAGTTCATTAAATAACCATACTTATGCAACAAATTTTTGACAGATATCAGTGGTCAGCTGTTATGTATCTTGAAACTTAGATTAATTAAATTAACGCAAATATTTAAGACACTGTCAACTTAAAAAATGAGGTTCAGCATGTCAAGCTGGCATAGTTACAGCGCCCTATAGGACACTGATGCAATATAAAATGTGATTTATAACGAATCCATATAATGTCAACTTTGTCTGAGTTATTTTAAACCTTGGTTCTTTAGTAATTTCTAAATTTATTAACGGATACTCTAGGACAGGAATATTATAAATTATGTCATATGAAAAAAAATATGGATGGTATTTTTTTGTCTTCGATTTGTGTTTCCTTGAAGTAATACATTCCTGGCGAAATAAGAAACATATGTTTAAATTTCAGTTACAAATTGAAGGGAAGTAGGGGCACAAACGAAAGTAATTATAAACTTTAACAACCGTGCACATTTTTGTCATGAATATATATTTAAAAAGAAATACATGTTTTATAAAAAAACTGTAAGAGTACGTTTTATTGTACTTCTAATAATCTACTTGTGACAGGTATTTGTTTGGTTGTATGAAATGAGTCTTATTGAGACTATTGGACCGCTTTTTATAAATCCTTGACTTTAAAATGTTCGGCATTGAGCATTCGTAATGACAGTAAATCCAGAAAAACGCTTCGGACTCATGAGGTTTGCATTGTTGTCATATTGTACTTACAAGTCGGATCACATCCTTTGTATTGTACTTCTAATAATCTTCTTGTGAAAGGTATTTGTTTGGTTGTATGTAATGAGTTTTATTTGGAATATTTTGCCACTTTTTATACAGCCTTGGCTTTTAAATAAGTTGGCATTGAGCATGTTAAATGAAACTAAATCCAGACAAACGCTTCGTACGCATGACATTTGTTTTGTTATCATATTGTACCTACCATTCGGATCACATCCGTAAATTAATATATGATGCATGACCATTTGATTATCTATGTAAGGTTCATATGCCATCAGATGATAATCTTGACCAGAAGGAAGATTAAAGATCATACAGGAGTACGTTGTTTCTTCAGCTGGCACTGCCGTCTCAGGAAAGCGAATGGTTGTATTCAATGTCTCTGAAAACAAAATCGTACGACGTAAATGTCTGGGTAAAAGAAATTAGACAAAAAGTATGGATACAAATAGTATATTTAATATTCTTTTGTTGTCAAAGTTACTTTAACCTCACATCAGAAATTCATAAAAAAATCAAAAATCTTCATTTCTGAAGCGAAAAGATTTCTTTTCGTTTTGAGATTATTTTTACTTCACAGTTTTAGTTTCGCCATATTGAGTAAATCGGTTTTCAGACTTTATATACTATTTTACACGCACTTTTCATTTCATTGCACCAAACTTGTTCGACAACTTTCTCTTATTTAGAATGTAGCATAATTCCTAGATTAATACTCCAATTTTTTGTATTTTCTTTTGTAGATTTGTGTATTCAGATGGAGATGTAGTCTCGATTATCCAGACGCATATATAAACACTTTGAAAAATTAAGCGGCTGGATAATCGAGACTAATGGAAATGTAAAATTTGATATATGGACTTTTTTCTTGATGCTTTGTTCTATCGTTAATATGACTTAAGTCTACCAATTAAAACAGTTGACTCTCAAATATTTGACATTGAGCGTTCTTGAATGAAAGTAAATCCAGAAAAGTCCTTCGGACGCATGAAATTAATAACGTGTTGTTTATTTTTTTGACGTGTATCTACTTTCGTAACATTCTTTGTTGTTTCTTTTATATATAACCAGAAAAAGTTACCACAGGTACCTTGTGTGTAATTCTCTGGCAATAATTTTTTGAGAGTTTTACCTGGTTCTTTCATAACATCGCAATTTTTCAGTCCATCTTCCACTTGACAATCTATCCATTCCTTGTCCGTATCACAGATAGACCCATCTGATAACGTACACACTCCTGAAAATTATCATATTATTTAAATAAGATCTTGCTTATATGATATCAGTTATGTGCTAAATGATGCCGATAAAATCAGTATAAAACACAAACAACCTAAAGCAAAATAAAAGAACAATGTGTCTGAGGACACGAATGCCCCCGCTCAAGATTGCAACGAAAATGGGACGGACGGACGGAAAGACGAACGGTCAAGGGTAACACTCATACAATGAAAGAATCAAACATTCGTCAAAAAAAATCTAGCGAACCATTTTTTTCGACATTTATAAAAAAAATGAAAATGAAGCTTAATAAATGCGAATTGCCATTAAAACCGAGAATATCACAAGACCTATTCATCGAAACATGTCTCACTCCACCTTTCAATCTTACCTGGGTGTGTTATATCTGTTAAACGTGAGGGTAAAGTTCCTTGTTTCCAGACACAGTCAGGATCCCCAAGTTCTTCGCCATTTGTTCTTCCGTCTCCATCAGAATCTTTTCTGCATAATTCAGATGTCCATGACTAAATGCAAATTAATTTCGATGAGAAGATATGCATGGAATCCATCAGAGTCAACAGTTTTCTACATGTTATCGATCATTATAAAATTCTTATTGGTAAATGGGTCCCACCACGAGTCGACATCTTTGAAGGTGAAATTAAACACGTCATATTTGATTTTTTAATTCATGTTCTTTTTTTTATTATGAACGTATTATAAGTTATATGCTTAAATCTTTAAACTTCTTCTATTATGAACAAACAGACAAAGATAAAATAAGAAATAATCAAAAGTGGAACACAAAACATTGATTGTTGTTTGCTTAACATTCAATAACTTGTATTTTTTACCTATATATTTAGGACTAGAATAGAAATAAAAGTAGATGCTGTATGATTGTCAATTAGACAACTATATATAAAGATCAAAGTACTTCGAAATGGTTCAGCAAGGTAGACCCACTTCGATCCGAACAGCATATTTAAGCATTTACTTGAATAAAGTTGGTAGGGCCCTCAAAATTTCTTGAACATGCGGAGATTGCAAAACTCTTACTCTATGCAACCCAAGTATTAATGACCTGTTTAAATGCACGTGTCGGTGTAACCTCCACAGCTGAACGGATGCATTTTTATAAATCTATGTCTATTTTCTTTATCCCAGTAAACCCAAGCGGTAAAAACAGAAAGACAAATTCTATAATGTACGTCTGATGTCATTGCATAATCGATTATGACCATTGATGAATAAAAAATAAAAATAAAATCAATTATTCGTTATTTAACGCATTTTATTTTGGCTAAGCGATATACTTTACTCCATAAAATATCTTTTACATGTTTGACCAAAAAGGTTGAATATTTCTTCAAATATGAATGCTTCAATGTTCCGTCCCTGGGTATTTGTTTTTAATTTCCTGTCTCACTGAAGATTTACTGGTACGTGTGTTTTACTTGAGGTGTTCTATCGAATTTTTAGCATACTAAACCTACTGTTAAAATGGTAGGAACCATCAATTATAAGGAACATTGAGACGATTATTGCAGGATTTTTTTTACACCTAGTGCAAACTTGGAAATAAAATGACGCGTTCTGGGAGAGTGCAACTCAGTCTGGACGTTCTCGAACCTACGCAACAACTCTATCGCATGTATATGGTCTGTTGCAAAACAAAATTTCTATCCGTATCCAAAATACCACTCTTTCATAGATAGTTTAAATTTCCTGTTCTTTATCCTGGTCAGGCTTTACAAAACACTCCTCGTGAATTTATATATTATATACGGTCATATAGATAGATAAAAACAACACATCAAACAAACAACAATCAATCAACTTATCTTATTCCTGTTGTATAAAAATTATGCTCTCAACATACCAATCCCGCTGCTTTAAAATCCAAACCAAACTGGTTTCTACTTCCACCTCCAAGTGGATTGTTGTGGCCTACACCATGCCACACGTAGTTAGCTTTACATGGATGTGGTACTTCGTTTCCATTCGGAAGGATATCTTTAAAATTAGGATAGGCTGTTACAATGCCGATACAGACAAGACTTTTGAGTAATGTTCCAATCCTGCCAAAACAAATAAATAAGTAGAAACATAAATAAGAAAATTATATTTCAAATAAAAGACAGCATGTTATAAAAATAATTCTAATATCAACATGTTTATGTGTTATAAAAAGGACAGCACAGACTGACTGTCTCTGCAAATTTCGTCATCATGGTTTTTCGAGGGATTCTGTTGAGTTCCCCATTATAACATGAATAAAACTAATAAACTAGCTTCGTTCAGTTTCATAAGTTCAGTGAAAGAAGTAATAAATACATATGTACAAATAATTATAAACATTAAGGGAACATTTATAGTACAACAAAATAACAACTTTTTATCACAAATATACCCTTTGAGTATATACAAAGTGCAAATTCTGAAATAGCATTTTTACTGTATCTCTCATGTCTTTCTGATGTAGAATGATCAATAACCAGATGAAAAATTGATAATTTAAAAAAAGACAGAAATAAAATTAATATATCAAATATATTGTTTAAACAACTTCATGATTCAGATAAGAGATGCAGATGTGTTTATATCTTTGCCAACAGGGATGCAGGCGTGAAATCGATAAACATATAAATAAATATTGAGTATTTTGCACGAACAGAGCATGCAGGTGAATAAAAAGCAGCAGTAAAATTTTATTTACCGAAACATACCTTTTAACACAATCATTAATTAATTGTATAACTTTAAAAATGGTTTTGCCATTCCGTTTGTGATATTGAGCTAAATTATACTATGCTGTTCTCGCTGTGCAATTGATGTTTACTGTTGAATAATTGTAAAATTCTTTCGTTTTCATTATAGGAGCAATTCATTTTTGTTGCATATGCGATGCATTTTCACAGTAGAAATATTATTCATTTTTATCATAAAGTGTCTTATTTAAGCCGATTCGCTTACTTTGTGGGTGAAAGTCTAGCATATAAAAAAAAATGAGTTCCGTAAAAAAGCATGTGTTGCTAAAAAATATTCAATTCTATTTTTCTAATTGTTCGTCCGAATAAATGTGTACACATTTTACAGTATTTTGGTTGATCCTGACGAGAATCGTACCACCTGTCGAGCCAATCAAGGGTATCATATAACTAGACCTCAGATACGTTAAAGTTAGAATTGGTGTTACGCAATACATTTTTCAATTGGTTAAATTCAAATCACTATGAGAGTTACGTTCAAGTTTGACACGCAAGCTTGGCTTATTTAATAAATTGTGCTCAGATTTTGACCTCATGACACAATTAAGTCTGTTTGATGTAGACAGTTTCTTTTTTTACTTTTATTTTGAACAATTACAAGTCTTTTAACGCTGTAAATTCGTGGTTTTAATGACTTCAGAAAAAAAACTGTTATTCACCGAGGCACAGTGCATTGCTCTGTATGAGTAGAAATTAAATGACAACAATGTGTTAAAATTATAAATCAGAACGATGTTAAATGCTGAAAAATATTTCTCATATATAGGCACAGAAGTCTGATCCTAATTTATTGTTTTCCCATAGGTTTGACTGAGAAAGATGGTCATCCTTGTCCAATGAGTGGCGTTTGTTTGAATAGGTGGAATGTATAAATACGCAGCCAAGCAGCGATCTGAATGTGGATGTTAAATTCGATGCCTGGTGTATGCAGAGTTAAATCCTCTATGCAGCAACCCTTCAACAATTATTTTTGCGTCATAGATGGCGTGTTGAAAGGCAAAATTTCTGATATTACAAAATTCAAACTTCAACTTCATCTCCAACTAGCCAAAAATCTCTTTCTTTCCAAATCAGTAATAAAACTCGTTTTAACTTTTTGGGGACTTTTGACATTTATCAGTGTCTGAGCAGAGAAAAGTTCATCCGAAGATACCAAGACCTTGTTGATAAACATTCTGTATCAACTTCACAAATAATACATGACGGTCTTGAAGTATAGGTTCTAGGTACTGACGTTATTCCTCATTTTAATTACGAGTTATAGTGTTCGTTTTTTATTTTTTAACCTTAACTGTTAGTCCATTTTTTGGTAATATACTTTTTAGCGTTGCTATGGTCATTTTTTTATTCTTGGAGTGTCTATATGCCATTTTGTTTTTCTTTGTTGAGATAGTTATTTGTTTTTTATTGTGATTAAGATTATAACACAATGATGACTTCTTTACCCCAATTTTGACATTTTTAACTATTATGTCTGTTTTTTTAGCCCACACATTGTCGTCAATACAAGGAATTATATGAAAGTACTACTAAGATAATTTTCATAACAATTATTTAACAGCAAAAATACATGAGAAATAGTGGAGATACAACACTATAAAAATACTGTTCTTTGAACCAGCTAGATGAATAACCCATTAAAATCTAAGGGGAGTGCGGAGATAGAACAGTGTAGTTCTGACAAAAACTAATAGAGTGTAGAAATTTCGTATTAAAGTTAAAGGAGGATAGAACCGTTGCACTTGGATCTCAACTCTACGCTATCTCCATTTTTATCATTAGTGGAAATATTGCGCTATAAGATTCACACGAAAAGTGTAGATCTAACCGAAGTAATATAACAGATACAGATTTAGACAATGTATCAAAGAGTAAGGTTTTCAGTTATAAACTGCGGAGGAGTAAGAATTTATTCGAAAAATACTTATATGGTCTAGTCAAACAGGTTTAAACTCATATGGTCCGACCATACGCGAATTGTCGGCCCATATGGGTATACCCATACGACCATTACCATACCCGTATGGTCCAAATATTCATATGGACCGGAACAAATATATGAATTATGGGATTGAAAAAATATGGTTGTCATTGATCAAGAGTATTTTTGATTTTTGATAATTGTGGAATGTCAAATATAGGCGAAATTAAAATCAAATCTCAAAACAACAAATTTTATTAAACATCGAACAAATTAAGTTAAAAGATCAGTGTAGACCAAAATGGTTTACAGATTTAAATCAATCATCAAAAGGTTAATGTTATGAATTATTCAAAATTTAACTTAATGCCTGTCCCAAGTCAGGAGCCTGTAATTCAGTGGTTGTCGTTTGTTGCTGTGTTACATATTTGTTTTTCGTTCATTTTTTGTACATTAATTAGGCCGTTAGTTTTCTCGTTTGAATTGTTTTACATTTGTGATATTGGGGCCTTTTATAGCTGACTATGCGGTATGGGCTTTGCTCATAGTTGTTGGCCGTACGGTGACCTTTAGCTGTTAATTTCTGTGTCATTTGGTCTCTTGTGGAGAATTGTCTCATTGGCAATCATACCACATCTTCTTTTTTATATTAAATTTGGAAAGTATATTTTCAGTTTTATTGCTATTAAAGCACTATCAACGTAATAAAGATGTGGCAATCAACGCTTGCCAGTGTAGACAGGAAGGTAACATACTGTTCCAAAACCAGAGTGATTATGCCATCCGTTGACGCTGGTGACATCGGCAATGGATTCCATTGTGTAATGTATTGTTCTTTTTACAGAAAAAAACAATACAAATATTTACCATACTGTCGTTGTAACAATATCAATACTAGTGTTCTAAAATTTAATGATGTTTAATTCGTTACTCAATACTATTTTACTAGAAAAGTTGTGTAAATTTATTAAGATAATATGTTCTTTTCATAATTTGCAAAATATGTCATATTGTGTACATTATCATCTCTGTAACTATGTAATTTAGTAAAATCTAGTCTAGTCTAGTCTACGAAAAGCTGACAACGCCATGGCGATAAGAGTGAAAATATTAAATAATAATATAATTTATATCATCCATCATGAGTTATTTTTAGATATCCGTCGTTTACAGTGGTGTATTCAACCTGTAAAAATCTGTTATCAAACCCGCATTATATTACTAAATATTATTTTGATAAAAAAAGTTGTCCACTAAAATAAATAGTAAATTGGAAAATGTACATTATTTGGGGAACAGGTATTGTAGATATTGTAGATCACAGGTGATAAATAAAATCACTGACACCTTGGTGATTGAACAAAGGAAGAAGGTCGCTCATTTTCCTGGTTTCTTACAGCAAAGTTGGTGTTGAAGTTTTAACGGCCCCTCAAACCTCTCATGTATTTCACGGTAATTTTAAATGCAAAATGTATTGCCCGTAGTAATGAATTCAGTTTTACCGTTAAAACACTTTTCAAATGATTTCTTAGTCATCTATATATTTTATTTGAAAATAAATTGTCCGGAAAACTTGAACTTTGAGCGAACGTGTGTAATATGATATAAGTCATAAATGTTTAACTTTTGAGAACCATGCCAGATGCATGTATTGATTTAAAGTGAGGAACATTTTGTTTTTCATTTCAAACTCTACAAGTCGTAACGAATCCTGAAACCTTATTTTCAGATCATATTCAAATCAACAGTTACTGTAATTTAGTGAGTCCAAAAACATTCTATAGTACCAATGTCTTATCTATGCAGCACGTATTGTCGGTGTTTCTGAATACTGTAGTGTATGATCAAACAAGACCAATACCGTGTCTGGACTTGTGCCGCTCAATGCAATTGTTTTAGGTGACATGTACTGATCATTCCCTTAAATCATTGAAGCCAAGAAAACGATGAAGAAAATTTTCCTTATTCAATGATTGTTGTAAAACTATCGGAAAACAGAAAGCGGTTGCACAGCTAATGTAAAATTTCTGACACACTACAACCAAACATGATCAAGCTGATGACCAAATGTAAAATCATTCGCTTCCATAATAGCCAAAAAAAGTTTTTCATTTTTCCTTGTACAATAGGTGTTTTAAAATTTAAAACTCTAGGTTAACAGGAGTGGTTGCACAGTAAATGTAAAATTTCTAACACGCTACAACCAAACATCATCAAGCTGCAGACCAAATATAAAACCACACCCTTTCATCGAAGCCAAAAAAAAAAAGTTTGACTCAAATGATCTTGTAAAATGAGTGTTGCAAAATTTCAATCTATTGTCTAAGAGGAAGTGGCTGCACGGCAGATGTAAAATATGATTACACTTTACAACTCAACATTATCAGGC